CAAAAAAAAAAAAAACTTCCTGATCTTTTTGGGCTAAACAGTTGCTTTTTCAGTTATTTCTTCTTTGATAAATGCGACCAAATTGATGTTTCAGCCTAAATGTGCAGTCATTATTTATTAGAAAAAAAAAAGTAACATTATAAAGCAAATAATACACGTGCAAAAAATTTATGGGTAAATATAAATAACACAAAAACGTAATCTATAATTTACGTAAATAGTACTTTCTCGTTTCCCATCTTCTTTTTTTCTTTGCTTTCACCTTTATTACACTATTCTAAGAAATATCAATCGGCTAAATGCTTCCCACATTATGATAAACGTTTTCAAAACAGAATGCAGAATGCAGAAAAACAAAACCGATGGCAATAAAAATTTACATTCAACTCGTCCATAAGTTCCTGGCTATGTTATTGTTGTAAACTTTTCAAGTCCCTCAGCAGTTCTGAATCATCCAAATTACAACTGCCTACTACTTCACTACCAGCATTCCAAACAACATTCAACAGAACTACTGATACTTTCATTGCATAAACTAACAAGTCATTTTTGCCAAAACTGTACACGTAAAAGTCGCACTACAGACAACTTTAAAAGTCTCAACAACATTTCACGTGGAAAAACACCTAAAACTTTCCGTAACATTGCACTACCAAAGTTTTTCGAGTAAAAAACTGTCAATCAAAACTTCAAATTGTAAAAGTGTATCTACCTCACAAAATTGTAAACAAATCAACTAATTAGAGTTTAACTAAAAGTCAAAAATTTCTTCAACTAAAACTTCCTAAAAAACTAGTCAATAATTAAACTGCTTCGTCCATTAATGACATAGATGCAAGAAATAAAAATTTTCGGAAGATTACAAAACATCCAGAAAAATTTTTAGTGAGATGGAAAGCTGTTACCGGTAATTGCAGTCCCAAAAAAGTATTCTAACCACTTTATGAGAAGCCATATGGTTTAAAAATTCCTATCATACTACTACTTATAAATATAAAACTTTCTCGTCTTTGCAGTAAAAATAAACAGTTCTACCGCTAAAATCTATAAACGACTCAGTAAACTGCAAGAAAATTTTTAAAAGAAAATATAGCAAAGAAAGATTAGAAAAACCTCATTGTCAAAAAGATTTTTAGCCTTATCAAAACTCGAAAACTAAACAACAACTGAAAAATTGCTTAGTACATACTTTATATTTGGCTCAGCCTCACAGCGGCTAAACTTTTATTGCAAAAATTATCAAAATGTAACATCAAATTAAATGAATTCACTGATCCCAATAGTGATCAAAGTTGCCTTCAATAATATAACTCTGATGACCTGCCAAAGCTCTATAGAAAAAATTTTTTATCAAACATAACATTTTTGCGCATTCATCTGCTCGCATATGTACAATATGAGGTTTTAATTAGTACTAGCACCGTTTGAACATTAATAAACAAAAAAACTTTGGGAAAATAAAAAGTCTGGCAAAACTGGCAAAGCATTTCACCTTCTAAGGTTTACTACCTTTCAGAAAAAGAAATAAGTAGACTGCATCTTTTTTTCTTGCGATTAAGTTTCAATTGCGGAACACAGTAGCAACCAATGAATAATGTATATATTACTCACAAAAACAAAAAACCGATAAAGTGGTGATAAAACCAATGATTATGATTCCTACTGAAAGGCAACAAACCCGTTTGATTCCAGCCGAAAAAAAAATAAATTAATTCTCAACAAACAACATAACTGTAAAAATTTAAATAAATTATAACAATACCGTAGCCCGTAGCAAAACTGTACTATAATGCACTTTAAGATCAGTCAAAAGTAACCGGAATTGAAGAGAAGGGAATTAACGGAGTGGAATTTTCTAAGTTTGCAGCTGTTTGTAAGCAATCAAGAGCCTCTTCATAACGACCTGCTTCAGTAAGAATAACACCCAAAAGTTGCCATGAATCACTGTATAGAGGATCAATTTGCAAAATATCCCTGTAAAGGTTTTAGAATCATAGAATATGCTTGTCAGAGATTCCATCACTGAAAAAAAAACCGACGAAAAAAATTCCAAAAAGCAGTACTTAGCAATATAACAAAAAAAAAGAGCCAAATAAAAATAAGTGTAAAAAATGTATGATAAATATCCTACTTGAGCATCTTTTCAGCCATGAGAATATTCCCTTCTGAGTGATATATAGCAGCCAGATGTTTCAATGAAGCAATATGTGACGGAGATAAAGCAAGAGCACCAAGTAAGCAAACTTTTGCTTCATTGTGTAGCCGCTGTACAACCTTCTCATCAGTTTCCTTTTCTGACCGTAGAGCCAGCAATTTCCCCTAATTTTGTATAGACTTTCAGATTTTAAATCAACGTAATGTCCGATCAAATTTATCGGTAATACCTGCTATAATACTAACTAGCTCAGCTTCCTGTTACAAACTTAGTAAACTTAGTAATACTTTCCACAAAAAAAAAAACACATCGCATACCTTTAAGTAAAGGGTCTGGTGAGAATTCGGGAATACCGAGCACGCTTCATCAACACATATCCGTACATCATCCAAACAACCTTTCTCAATAAAAAGCTCGGCTAATTCCACCCAAATATTTGCCTGAAACAAGTGGAATTAGCATTTTTTTTTCCATATAGTGACGTCCTAAAGCCAAAAAAAATTGAATTACGAATTACGTGAATGTTGTCGAAAAGGTAAATTTTGTACCTGGTTCCTGAATCGAGTAAATGCTTCGGTACTAACAGTGGAACCAGAATTCAGACCATCTGAGAAAGTCGATGTCCCAGCTCCTACTTCAGAAGCCACAGTCAAGCCTCCACCAAAAGTGGAACTGCCATCTAAAAAATAACCTATTATTATAAAGTGGCGGTAGCAAATTCGTCAAATAAAAATGACGAAAAAAATAAACTCTCTAGAGTAGATAAAATCCGCTAATACAGATGTGTCCAAAAGTTGCCACACCTCATGACTAAAAAAAAACGAATAAGTATTTACCTTGATCACCATTCTGTGACGAAGCCGTGACAACAGGAGTTGGAGGGATAATACCCATTGGCGAAGTAAGCAGAAGAATAGCGTCTCTACTGCTTACTGAACGTGCGACACTGGTTCGAATCTCATTAAGATTAATCTTATTAGCTAAAAATAAAAAAATGCTAGTATACTTTTCGAAAAAATAAGTAAAATAAGACTTTATATCCATATAAGCTTAAATACTAAATTTAACTGCGAAAAACGTGAAAATTAACTTTTTTCTGAAACATGAGAAGAAAATGTTTCCGGGGCTGCATTCATTTCCTTAGAACGCCAGAAATGGAGCAGATGTTTGGAAGTTTCAAGTGCATCTCTTACGCGACCTAAAAAGAATGTTCATTAGAAATAAAATGAAGGCAGCAGAAGAGTACATAAATATTAACCAACAATTTAACAAACCTAATTTGGTATCTAGCTTTAGTCTTAGTACCAGTAAAGAAAAATTTGTTGGAAAACTCTCCAGCGCACTAGTTACGAAATCCAAAGCAGCTTCATATTCCTTAGTTGCCGTACTTATTAATGCCAAAAGCATCAAAGCACACGGAAGTTCACCATTGAGCTCTAAAGCTCGATCGCATTGGTCACGCGCATTCCGCATATCCCGCACTAAAGCGTTCACAGAAATCATAAACCAGAAGAAAAAAATGTTTTCAATGTTCAAGCCACTGTCCAGTGATAAAAAAAAACAAATCAGTAGTTCAGATTCAAAAAATGAATAATAAAAATGAAGCCAATTCATACCAAACTACGAAATTTTTACGTGGAAGATCTGAACAATCATTAGTTTGGTATTGCTTTTTCTGCTTTTTAGGTTTTTTCTTTAAAGAACTGGAAACATACCTATCGCGTACTGTCGTGCGCAGTAATAGTGAGTTAGGGCGTCATGAAAATCAAGTGCCAAAGCTTCTTTGAACTGTCTGATAGCTTGGGCATACATTTCTCTCCTTATTTTGTACTGAACCTCATGGTCCGCTTTCAGACTTGAAATAAATAATTACTTTACCAGATTCCTAACAGTGCTTTGAGTAAATACTAAAAAAATTAATTCTGTTCCTGAAAATAATCTTTTTCCATAAAAATAAACCTGTAAGCGATAGCACGCAACAAGTGACATCTCCCACTCAACCAGGTTCCTTCACTCAGTTTTATTGCTTCTTCAGCATGGGCAATTGCTAAACCAAAATCACATATGCAAAGCATAATTGCCTTTTATTAGATTTTTAATACTACAGCGGTTTGCCGAACTATACCACACCCACGATAGACTGGTAAACTTTGTCACATTATAAGATTACTCTAACGTACCTTCGTCATATTGTCCAAGATGTTCAATTTCGACACGAGTAGCATACATATGTTCCATTAATGCACTTTCATCGTGCCTTTCAATTGCAAGCCACTGCTGAAATATTCTTGAGGCACGAACCCATCGCCCATGGCACATTAAAGTCAATGCAAACTGAAACCTAAAAATTTGAACAAGCATAAAGCCATTGTATACTACTTTTTTGGTCACTGTTACAATAAGTTTCTCCTTCGTAAGTATGACATCATAGAAAACATAAACTCATAGCGATAAGAACAAACCAAATGTAACGGTCTTGATTGACAAATTTCATGGCCCTCTCATAAATTGTAGCTAGAAGTTCATACTGTCGAAGTGTAGACAGAACCTAAAAAGAATTACATACTGAGAATCACAACCCGATATCAGCAGTAACCAGGATTCTCAAACCAAATTTGAAACGATACCAGAGTTAAAAGATTATAGACTGATTTCGCATTTTGTACTGACTGATGACGACTACCACCAAGTTCTTCGGCTCTACTAAGTACAACATCTTTCGATGCTAATACCTAGAATACTGCGAATACCTGAGTCGAAAAAAAGTTAAAAACTACTCCAAATTTTGTGTTTATTCTTCTCTGCAAAAAAAAGCCGTGATATAAAAATTTTAAAAAAAAAGTGAAAATTAAAAAACCAGGAAAGTCTACATGTGTATGATGAACTAAGCAATAATACCTCACTAATTAACAATAACAGTAATATCTCTTCGATACGTGAAGCGGGTTTAAAACAACTGCCATCCGACTCACTACTAAAAAACAAAAGAAAAGTTTTATCATCATATAAGAGAAACAAAGAAAAACTACTTAATACCTCACACTCAACGAGTGTGGATTTGGGAGATTTAAGGCAACAAAGTCTGGGGTCTTTTGCAATAAAACTTCAGCCAATTGACGACTCAGCCTAAAAAAAAAATGCGTACAGAAGAAGTGTAGTAAAACAAAAAATTGGTATCAAGCAAAGCCTAACGGATAATTACAAACCGTTGCTGAAGCTTTTCCCCAACTGGTTTGTCACATAATGATTTCATAATATCTCTATACCACTTAATCCCATCTTGGTCGGATAAATCGTCACAAAAACTACGTCGCATCTTCAACACCGGAAGATGTTCCAAAGACGATTCTAACAAGTCTCCTGAAGATTAAAATAAGAACAAATGAGTAGTACTAGTGCTCCAAAAAGGAAAGTAATTACCGAAAAATCCAATGAAAATTACCTATTTTATCGCTGTATGGCTTAGGCGTGCTACTCGCGACGGCCTGTAAAGATAGAAGGGCGTTTGAAGATGACCCTAGAAATTTTCCTTACATTTAAAAGCACCCTCGTATCAATAACAATAAAACAAGAAGTGTCTCATAACATCAAACAAAAAGTTGCCTTAAAAAAAGATCAAACTTTCAAGTACTGACTAGAGTTAGAAGTCATAAGCTCATCCGAATGAGCTCGTCCTTTGATATATTCAAGGGTAAGCAGAGCGGATTGCTCGAAACAAAACAATGTCTCTATTTCGGCTTTCTTCTGCTCTTTTTTGTCAGTAAAGTCCTGTGTTGCTTCAAGCGAAAAACCTAGAACATCAGCTAAAAATCATTTAGGCAAAAGAACAAGACCATAGACACTTCTCAGAGCGAAATAAAATAACTAGGTTACAGAATTAGAGGAAGAACCTTCAACTGCGTAGGCTTCCGCACCAAGGCGTATAGCAGGGAGACTTTTGCCTGGCTCCGGAATCTCCAACTTTTTAAAATCAGCTAGCACATTGTCAAATTCGGCACTAAAAAAGTTGAGTTATGACTTAGCTCAAGAACCACTACAGATAAAAATAACTTTCTTCAGTTTTACCCAAAAAGTTCTTGGTGCGAAATGTGAAAATAAAAGATCACAATGAAATCATTTGCAGTAAAAATGTAAAAAACCATCCCAATGGAAAAATTACCAGTAGTAATACAACTTAATCAATAGTAATCGCATTTCAAGATTGTAAGAGGCATTTGTCCCATGCTTAGACTCGATTGCTTCCAAAAGTAATTTTCTGGCCTTTTTTAAATCTTTATCATTCTCCTTCTTAGGTTCAATAAAGTCTGAAAAGAAAAAATTGATTAAGAAATATTATTAAAACGTGATACTGCTGAAAAATTGATCTATTACCCTTTCCCTTTTTTGGCCTCATTAACTTATTTAAGCTGTAAATCATAATTTCTACATAAGCTTATGCATAAGTTAATCCAAAAAAAAATTTATTTATCCAAGAAGAGTGGATCACTATAAAACATAAATAAAATAACCAAGAATCATAGACCGCTTAACAGGTAAGGAAAAATAAAAACTGTTTCTGAAAAATTTAATCAACCAA